AAAATTTTGCATGAGTTTTTGTAATCTTGAATTTGATAAGCGTTTTCTTGAAAGTGGCACCTTGGTGAGCAGTGCGTGTCAGCCTTGAAAACTTGAAAAGTCACACTTAAGCAAAACTTTCTTGAAGAGATTAGTTTCTGTTTGAACGTCCTGACCGAAATTTTTCCTTCTCTGGGATGCGACAATCTTGCATGCACTTAGGGTCCATGCAATATGCACCGTATGGATCAGCTCAGGGCTGATGCCTTCAGGATCGCTGGTGACGATCAGTGATTTCAGTGTTGGCCTTACAGCGTTGGCCATGCAGACTTGAGATGCTCATGATGCCTTTTCTTGTCGGGACTGTCTGACCGCTCTGGGTCAGGACAGTGCAAGGTGCAAAGGTCCGTAGAGGTCAGGAGGTTAGTTTGTACAGATGCCCTGAAGACCAGGGTATGAGATCGCCTTGGACCGTGGTTCGCCCACGCACGGCACTGGACAATCAGACTGTTTGCGCGCACTTGCTGTTGTGGACTTGTAGGCTGCGGGAGGTGCTAGGGCTTGTCCCACTTGTGTTTAAAGCGTCATGAAAGCATGGAACTCTTTCAATCGTTGCCATCCTTTGGCGGGGTGATGACGTTTTCTGTATTTTGAAGCGTCCATTTGGTGGGATGTATTCCAAACTGTTTTCCATGGTATTTCATGTGGGACTGTGTAGAAGCCCTAGGCATTCTTTTGCGGTCATGTCCATAACATGTGCGTGTGAAGGTGTGCTGCTCAAAGCCAAAACATTTTCAAAAGATGTCTTTGCAGATCAGGTTCAAAGCTGAGTAAACCTGTGCAAGCATGTTAGACAACGTGCTGTCCCATGTGTTGCCTCACGTGCTCACGCGGCACACCGAGATCAGTTTTTATGTTCAAGGTGTACTTGATCCTCTTTATGGACCATGGTACGCAGGAACGCTATCACCTTCGGATGAGGCAGAGGCCGCAATTGCTGCATATCGAGACACCTCGACAGTTCCAGGTGCCCAGTTTCGTGAATCAAATGCTTCCTTGCACACCAGATTCAATGTTCGCAGTGAACGACCCACTTTCCGGACCTATGCATGCAACTACCGCATGATCGTGGTGGCAGACACCCTTCACCTCACCTCGATTTCCAATGTGGCAGCAGTGAGCCTTGCTTGGCTGAGAGCAGTAGTGCAGGAAATTTCAGGTCGTGAAGCCGTAATTTTGCATCATTTGATCAATGCGTCACATGCAAGCAGGATTCGGCTCAGAGTGCTACAAGATGATTGGGAAATGTATGAAGGCCAATTTCACATCAGAGTGCACAATGCGGTACACCGAGGCCGCATGATACCTCCCATTGTGTAATGCTTCTCCGCTTAGGCAGCACAAAGTGTGCGTTCAGAGCACAATAAAAGAAAATCCAGTCGAGAGTCCAGCGCATCAGCACTTGCCTCGTCAGAGTGTATGTGTGTGTGCGTGAATCTGACGTGCCGTCGCCGCTGCCGCTGCCACTGCTGCTGCTGCTGCTGCTGCAGAGGTATGGCCATGATGGGTGCCGAGTGGAAGACCCCACGTGCTCTGAGCTTTGCTTGTCGAAGCAGCAGGATCTTCGCAGCTTCGATGGCAGGTATGGCTCCGTGCAGTATCCGTTGACCCTTGAGGGCGGAGCCAGCAAGACAACAGACTATGCCAGGAAGGTGTTGGCAGGTGAATTCATCCAGCACTTGTGTAAATTGGCCGCAGCAAGACTTTGTCTGCAAGGTGAGGTTTTTTGGTAATCAGAATTTGATACAAGTAGCTGCGAGGTCCGCCCAGAAGCTTGCAGCAGTCTCGCGCTGCACTGCGTGTGGGGCTCAAATCCCTTCTTGATCTTTGTTGGGTTGTGCAGTGGTTCCCTCGCAATGCCAATAGGCAAGGGCCAGTCGGATCCTTTGGGGGAGTACGCAGCATGGAGGCAGGGGTGTTGAGCCCTTTTGCAGTTTTGCTACGTACGTTTGAGATTTTCTCCGTTGCTTCAAAACGCTTGGGAATTTCCCTGCAATGTACATTTTTTGTGCCTTCAAGACTCATGTTCTGTTGTGGAAGCAAGAGACTCTTGCAGCTGTCCTGGTGCTTTGCATCCAGCATGCTGGATTCAAAAGTTTGGGTGCTTGTTGACGAAAAATAGTCGCGAAGTCCGGATTAGGCACGTTAAGAGCAGGTAGGACTCTTTTTTGTTGCTCGGGCTTTCGAGGTTGCGGGCCTGCTGCAAAGGGGAATCGGCAGGGGTGATGGTAATGAGGGTCAGGTCCTTGGCAGCAACTTCGTCCGGCTCCATGCTTGTTGCATGCCACCACAGGTCCTCCGATACGATGCAGCCATGAGCACCACAGACTTGCGAATTGTTCCTGCTTAAGGTGAGCTTCTGAAAGCCTCCTCGCCTGTACTCAAAGAAAGTCTTCTGACAAAACCTAGGAGGAGGGCAGAAGTTTGAATACGAACAAACACTTCATTTGACCTCGGTATGAGTGATCTGGCAAGTCATTCAGAGGGGTCTGCTGCTCAGCTCGACGAAGATGTGTTGTCGACTGGAATGAGCTTCGTCTCACGTGGACAGTGGTTACACTCTTGCCGCGTTCCAATCCATCAAGCCTCGATTACGTCGAAACCGCAGAACCTTCGCTTCGTGTCCAACAGAGGATTAGGCTCCGGGCCTGCCATGTTGCCTGGGAAGGGTTGAGCGCTCGCAGGTTGGTGCCGTATGGAATCCTGCTGACACTGGTGCTCTTCACGGTTATCTGCTTGGGTTTCTGCATCCTCGACTATTATCAGGCACAGCCCACGCTAGTCTTATCTTAGTACAGTGTATGTACATGATTGCGAAAGGACTTTGTGCATGAGGAGCATGCCGGAGGACTAGCAGCTGGCTGACGGCACCAGGGGATAGCAGTTTGAAAAAACATTATAAGCGTCAAAAAGATTTTGTAGGCATCAAGAAAAACTTTATGAGCATCAAAAAACTTGTTGCCAATTTCCTGGGGAGTGCGCCAATCCGGAATGCTTTTTTTGATGCGTGGGCTTCAACCCTGTACCCTGGCAGGAACCAGAGAAGAAAGGAATGAAGGCGGGAAGGAAGGAAGGAAGGAAGCAAGGAAGGAAGGATTGCTCATCATGTTTCATCAGTATTCATCAATTTTCATAAATCTCAACAGTTTTCAACATATTCAGGATCATTTTCATGACATTCCATGATTTTATCTCAATTGTCCAATGTCTTGATCATTCTGCAGGGTTGTTCCTTCATGTTCATGATTTTTCGTTGTTTTTTCATGGTGTTTCATGTTTTTGCATGATGTGTCATTATTCTTCACGATTTTCCTTTTTTGTTATCATCTTTCATGTTATCATTGTGATGACTGCTCACTATTTCACGTTTTGTCATCATTTTTTCAGTATTTCCATGCTTTTTCATTTTCTTCTGTCATGTTTCATGGTTTCCCAGAATCTGTTTCATTGAGTTTCATAATTCACATACTTTCATCATTCCCATCTCTGTTGATCATGTTCATCCTCTTCTCATCATTAATCGCATCACATTGCCAAATTAACGTGGCGGAAGAAAGCACATACTGTTTCCTAATCTTTGTCCAGGTTTTGCAATTGGGAGGGGGGCTGCGCCCCCCAAACCCCCCCAACCCCCCTCCCCCCCCCCGTCATTTTACACAGCACATTCACGCATGCTTCATCATGTTTTACCATGTATCATCATTTATCATTAAAATCATTTTCTCATTATGTCACCATGTTTCTTCATTCATCCTTTCCATCATTGCTCATTATTGTTCATTTTCATACGTGTCATATTTCATTGTTGTTATGATTTTCATGATTTTTCATTATTTACATCATTTTTCCTTACTTGCATGGTTTTTCATGATTTTTCATTTTCATGTTTCGCGATTTTCAATATTTATCAATATTGCCATGCTTTTCCCATCATCTTCATCACGGTTCTTATTTCCATCACTGTCAATGTACCACCACTATCACCACTACCACCATTACCCAGACGTCAATGAAAATGTGTTTTTTTTGATGCTTGCCTTTTGCTCTGGCCCTACTAAATCTACCATTACACAGGCGTCAATGATTTTTTGTTTTTGTTGCTTGCCCTTTGTCCTTGCCCCTATTAAATTTAGTACCTTTTTTTTGATGCTTAAAACGTTTTTTTTTGATGCGCTGGGCATATGTTTTTTTGATGCTTAACAATTATTTTTGCTCTCTCACCCATTGGTCTCCCATCCAAATGAAGTTCCTTCTTGGGTTTATCAAATGAGGACAGATATGAAGACTTTGTGTCCGGCCTATTTTGGTGACCTTTTAACAGAATTTAAGGTTTTTTCATACCGCAAGTACGCTCGTCCTCAGTCCTGGAAGCCTAATTTACAATGCAATTTAGCAATTAACATTCGGCGAAGCAACACCGCCAGGATGTGATGGCACAACGTCTTCCAGGAGTCGGAAAGGTGCAATTGGCAGACCTGCTAGGTCTAGCTCAGGGCCCAAGAAGTTATTCAGGACGGTTCAACTAGATGAATAAACGTTGGGTGGTGCGCAAGTATTGCATTCTTTGTGTTGCCGTATCCACGCAGCACCAGGATGTCCTTCAGCTAGAGTTGACATGTTTTAGACATGGTCCTTTGCCACACCTTTCAAACTCATGTATTCCTTGATATTCAAGCATCTTGATAACCTGAACCCCGATCTCGGCTCCTCACAAAGTTTGACGCTCTCACAGGTGCCTCTCGATCTGAGATGGCCAGCTCATTGCCAAGGCTGGCCAAACCTCATGCGGAGATCGACCAGATTGTGTTGTTGCTGCGTTGCAGACAATCGCCTGGTGCATCCTCCACAGTTGCGCAGGTGCGCTCTCCTGCCTCTATTTGTCAATACTCTGGCGTAACAAGGAGGAAATTATAGGGGCACATCGTCAGGGTCGCTGCTGTCGTAGTCGAGGCTTTCTTGTCTGTTGTTTGTTGTTTTCAACATGACTTGCTTCCGCCTAGATAAGACCATGCATTTCCCAGAGCACATATACTTAAGCGATAGTAGCGCCCATCCCCAAGAGAATCCATTTGCCAGAGCACGCACGCCCAAACGATAAGAATGTCTATCCCAACAGCATCCATTTCCCAGAGCCCACATGCCCAAAGGATAATCACGTCCATCCCCAGGAGCATCCAATTCCCAGAGCATGCGCGCCAAAACAGAAATAACGCCCATCCCCGAGAGCATCCGTTCCCCAGACTTCGAGCTCAGGATGAACAGGGATCCTCCTTCTTGACAGCTTCGAAGGTCTTTCTCTAAGTGTGCAGCTGCGTATTACATGTAAAGCGGGGAGTCATCTGAGCTGGGCTGTTATGCTTTCCTCGTATGGATTGCCATCCTTCGGGTTAACGCCTTGCCAATGGCGCAGTGGCCCCATTGCACGGCTGTTGGCCCAGACGCCTACTTGCCACTGCTAGGTCCTACGGGACGGGCCTTCAAAGCCCAGGGACCCTCCCGCCGGCCCGCTGAATGGAAAAGAGCTAGTGTTTGAAGTAGCAGTAGCAGTAGTAGTAGCAGAAGTAGTAGTAGTGGAAGTAGCAGTAGCCGTAGTAGTAGCAGCAGTAGCCGTAGTAGTAGTAGTAGTAGTAGTAGCAGCAGTAGTAGTAGTAGTCCCCCACCGTGGTTCAAGCGCGCCCAATGCGCCAGCTGTTCCCAAGCTGATCGACTGGCTGTGATGGAATGGAAATTGTAGTGATTGTGGTGGTGGTGGTGGTGGTAGTAGTAGCAGTAGTAGCAGTAGTAGTAGTAGCAGAAGAAGAAGTAGTAGTAGTAGTAGTAGCAGTAGTATTAGTAGTAGGAATATTAGTGCTACTAGTAGTAGTAGTAGTAGTAGTAGTAGTAATAAGCACCATGGCTCAAATTCTGCCTAGCAGCAGGGCTGCGCCTAGTTCGATGCAATGGATGTGGAAATGTTGCCTTCGCGTAGTTCTACTGATAGCAACATGCGAAAAGGGACAAAGCGAAGGCGTAGCAATGCCAGCAATGACAGTATGCAATCAGGTCGGAAGCGTGAAACAAAGCATTGTGTTCGGGAGGGTAGATGGCCAAGCCATCCCCTGGTTTCAGCAACTGCAACCCAAGCCAACCTGGAAGAGCTCGCGCTACAGCTGGGCCTACATGGGATCAGCATTGAAGAGGTCAGGGAACTGGGCTTATGGATTTATCTCAAATCTAACGAAGCTTGTGATCCAAGGCTCTGCGCAGAGGCTAGGTCCATCCTGGACACAAAGCTGGCGGAAGCTGACATGTACCAACATTTGTCGTTTTTTCCGAACAATGCTTCCAGAAGATGCCCTGTCAGATATGCGCAAAATGCTACATCAACTTGTGCTCACAAAGGCACATGCGAAAAGGGTCGCAGAAGCACAACAAGCCACTGAAGCCAGTACATGCAGAGAAAGCCCGAACATCAGCATTGATGACCTACAGGAGCTATACGCATCATTCCTTGAGCAGTATGCGGAGCACACATGCAGAGTGGTTGAGCGACGTATGCGCTGCATACAACTCAAACAAGACCTCCAAGAAGCCAACGGCACAGAATGCTACCCGCGCATTCTTTACAGAAGTTTGTGGAGAAATGAACAAGGTGCTTGGAGCCAATTCCTGCATGAAAGAGATCTTGAGGACATGTGGTTGCCCATGTAACCCGCTTGCGTGGCAGCACGTACATGTTCTAGTACTCCAATTACAACAGCTGCTTGTTGAACGTTCCCCACAGGGACGCCCAATTGGCCCCTATACGACAGACAGTGCTGTACATGTTCATCTGCGTATTTGGCTCCAGACTGTGTCTACTGTGCTCCGCGCTCGGCCAACAACAACATGTCAGAACAGCCAGCTCAGGGAACACGCCCTGAGTTCAATAGTGAGGATGTTGTTGCTCGCACTGGAAATGCCATCCGAAGTTATCTTGCACAAGCATCCGAGGAAGAACGCAGAGATGCGTTGAGCAGATTGCAGAATGGTGTGCTGACAGAGAAAGGGACAGAAGGGAAGAGCATGCCTCTAGGGTTGCCCGAGGTGCGCCGGCCCCTTCCGTACACACCACACTCTACACCGGTGCACCGCCCGCGGCGTCATTGCATCCCTCAGCCGAAGCCGACACCACCACAGCCTCTCACCCTGACCAAATTGAGCATGGGTATACGACACCGCCAAGGTCCACCAAGGCAACCGCGCCGCTACCTCCCAAAAGAAGACGCAAAACAAAAGGGCGCGTGCAAGAGCAAGGAGAGAACACTGATATCACAACTACGGAAGGCTGGGTCAGAGCATGGTTTGCTTGATCGCATGGATTGAGTGTAGCTGCATCCACAACCTGATATGCTATGCAGACAACACCAAGTGCCACGACCTCTTTCCTGCTTCTAGCCCTGACATGTTCTGCATGAAGGTAAATGCCCGCCATAACTCGTGCATAACAATGCCTAAACACGCATGCAGATTCGTCTCTGATGTGCAAGCCTTGCAGATTGTGATACCGCTGTCCTCAACCAGCCAAAAGCCCACAAAGCTGTTCTATTTGTACCTCAAGCCACAAAAATACATGTACAAGCCATTGCCTGCTGCGCACACTCAGATCGATGGGCTGCCAGACATGGCCCCAACCGAGATCCAGATCACACAACATCCAGGACAGAGCATAGGGGGATGCACTTGTTTTTGGCCAGCCGATCTATGTGAGTCATGTGCAGTGCAGGCAAATGATGTAAAGCTGCAGCAAAGATGCCTTGCCTTACCTGTCTTAAGTCAAACACATACCACAGCCAAGATGGCTCAAGGCAACGACAGGGATAAAGATAGGGCTCCCCGTAGCCGCTGGCGTGCTGATGGGACGAGGCGCCGCACCAAAGGCGAAAGAATGGCCAGGGCGCCGTTTGCCAAGTACTGGAAGGAACGACAGCGCAAAGAGAGGGAATCTGAAAGGGAGCCGAACGAGCCGGCCCCTAGTACAGCGTCACATCATGCCGAATGGTGGTGTGACCGTGGCTATGATGAGGACAACAATCGGTGGACGTACGAATGGGCTTGCAATCAAGAACGGGGAGCAGCGAGGGAAGGTGGAGACAACAGCTGGTGGAACTGGTCAGATCGCAACCGTGATGAAGCCCAACAGGAGCCAGACGCACCGGAAACACCACCTCCTGCACCAAAAGCCCAAAAGCGTCAAAACCCTGAGTCTCCTACGGAAGGGGAGGTAAGCTGCCCGGACGAAGACTCAGACATGGAAACTGTCGAAGTAACATCTGAGGAGGAAGACGTGCAACCTATGGATGATGAAGCCGGCAACAGGGTTGCCGAGGCTCCGGCCCCTTCCTCATCAGAGCAACTTCACGACATGCCTGCAGAAGACGAGTATGCCATGTACCACGGCCGCGTCAAGAGACTGATGCACCACAGGCAAGAAGAAGTGAGCAAAGCACTCACCAATCTTCTCCGACGCAGTGCGGAGAAAGCTGGACTTACGGTGGCAACAAATGGCTTCGTGTCTGCCACTGCTCTTCTGAAGACCCGACGATTCCAGCGTGACAGAATAAGCATGGCCGAAATCGTAGCTGCAGTGGCCTTCGCAATGATAAAGCCAGATTTGAACTTGCAACCAGCTACATCGAGGAAGGCCCACCTGGGAAGAGCCTCTTCGTCAGAGCGGTTCAGGGACATTCGATTCGCGCAGTGGACAATGCAGCTGCCTTGACCAGACTGGATGGAAGAACTGTCCCCAAGCTTGCTGCGCATGGGACGTATTGGGACTTTTATCACAGCATTCTGGAAAAGGGCCTCCTTGCCGGTGGTCCACAGCGCCGTCACAGCGCTGCAGACGTCACATTCACCTGACCACAGGGCTGCCGAAGGACCGGCCCCTGAGTGGAATGAGGACGTCAGCTGAAAGTGGACTTTGGATCGATATGATCAAAGCCAGCGCGCTGGAATCGAGTTCTTCCAATCCAAAAATGGAGTCCTCCTCACAGAGGGACGCAACGGAGCTCTCCCATCGGACTTCATAAGAAGTGTACAGATAGTTGAGTCAGGGGAAGTCCTCAAAGGTGAGAATGGCCCTCGGGCTCCGCAGCTAGTCATGGACGCCCTGCTTCGATCCCAGGGTAGCCAGACATCGGCCCCTACTGGAGCAAAGGGAGCTGCGTCATCCTCCGCCTGGAAGCAACGCGTGCTCTGTGTTGCATAAGCCATGATGATGCTGACTGGCAACCCTATTGTGCTTGCAGGACAAAGGACTGCAGCCATGCGCGGAGCCACAGAGTGCAAAGCATTAAGAAGGATTCTGTCAAACATGCGTATAAAAATTGCATAACACAAAAGGTGCACAATAAACTCAGAAAGATCAAGAGCTCAGCAATCAAGAGGGCTAATAAGAGGCCTAGGCGTAG